CCCCTGCCACTGTCGATGTCAAAAAACTTCTCCCCTAAGCAGGGTAAGGACATGGGGGGAGATGAAGAGAGGAGAAGATGAGATCCTGCTCTGCGCTGCTGGAGGTGGAACTAGGACCACAGGCTCTCACTGAAGATCCCTTGGCCCAGCTGGAGTTGCCAAAGTCAGCCCCACTCAACCCTAATTCCCTCAGAAATGTTGAAAAGCTCAAAGTGTCAGTGCACCTAGAGCAAAAAATCATCCCTCTGCTTCCCATCCACCAGCAAACAAGCTCTGCCCTGGCCAACAGGAGGACACTGGGCCACAGCTGGGAACAAAGGTCCTCGCAGTGAGGAGTGGGCAGAGCTGGCACTCTGCCCCTTTGCCCCCCATTTCTTGGGGCTCTGAGCTCACCTGCAAAGAGCAGAGTGAAGATGATGGTGAGCTGGTACACGGCGTGGCCCAGGATGTTCTTCATCATGGTGCGGGAGATGAGCGGCTTGTTGCGCCCGTAGGGTTTGCGCAGCAGCAGAGACTCCGACGGTGGCTCCGTGGCCAGGGCTAAGGAGGCGAAGGTGTCCATGATCAGGTTCACCCACAGCATCTGCACAGCCTTCAGGGGAGAGTCCTGCAGAGACAGGACAACAGGTCACACCCCCAAAACCAACCTCTTCTCCCTCATTTCGCAGGAGCCTCCGCTCTCCTGCAATCCTCATCGCTCCACAGCTCCCCGAGGCTCTGCCCAGCACGTGGCTGCTGCTCACATCCCTCAACTTCAACAACCCCCAGAAAACCCCCTGAAACCAAGAGGTTCTTTCCTCCTTCCCAGCCAGCCCAGAGCTCAGCACCTGTGTGATGCAGGCGCCCGTGAAGGCCACGATGACAGCCACGACGTTCACTGTCAGCTGGAACTGCAGGAACTTGGAGATGCTGTCGTAGACGTTGCGGCCCCACATGACAGCCTTGACGATGCTGGTGAAGTTGTCATCTGTGAGGATGATGTCCGAGGCCTCCTTGGCCACATCTGTGCCTGCAATGCCCTTTGGGAGCAGGGAGGAAGCAGTGGGGTGAGTCAGAGGGAGATCCACACTCCCTGTCTGGCTCTGCTGCTGCCCAGAAAGAGCCCCGAGAGAAAAGCCCAACGAGGCAGAGGAGTCACTGCCATCTGAGTTTGGCAGAGAGAGCAGAGCTCCAAAGTGGTGGAGCCTCCAAGGGCAGGCAGAGCTCAGCTCCACAGCTCTGAGTCAGCCCAGACATCCAGCCTGTCCCTCTGCACGTCCCAGACAGGGGCAGCAAAGCTGGAGAACAACTTCTTTGTGCCATGGCCATCCCTGCCTGGGCACCTCTGCTGCAAGCAGGGTTGGGACTCCAGTGAGGAGGAGTCTGAAGCTCCAGTGCCTTCTACCCCACCGTGGTGACAGCAGCCCCACAACCTCCCAAAAGCCTCCTGAGCATCCCCAGGAGCCCAGGCAGGCACTGGGCTCGCTGTGCTTCCCCGTGCCAGCACATCGAGGCGCTCGACTTGCAGGAATCAGTGCACACTCTGAGCCCATTCCCTGCTGCTTCCCCCACCATCCCCTGGAGAAACTCTCCTGGGATTTGCCACATCCCATCTCAGATGGCAACTCCCAGGCTGTTGCAGGGTGACAGCTGTTTAGGCACAGTCCCCTACCTTCTCCTGCTCATCCTAAAGGCTCCAGAATGGCACTTGGATATTTAGCACTTTCCCAAAAGCACTCCCAAAGCATTTCTCCTTTGCTCAAAGCTCCCTGCAAAGGCTCCCCAGGCTCTACCCAGCATGTGGCTCCTGCTCACATCTCTAAACTTCAACAATCCACAGCAAACCCCTTAAAACCAACAGGTTTCTTTTCCTGCTTCTTTCACACAGGGAAAGAAAAAAGCAGCAAACAGGAGACCAGAGTTCTCCGCTGTAAATAAACTCCCAAAGGCAGTGCCAGCACCATGTTTGGAGCTGGAGTGAGGAACTGCAGGGAGAAACCAAGTCACTGAGCTCTCCTAGACCCCCAGCTCAGGAACTAGGGGGGTCCTTGCTCTGGGGGCTCAGCAAACACTGCATCCCCTCCAGCTCAGCACAGTCCCTCCAGGTGGGACAGCCCAGCCCCAAGCCAAGCTCTCAGGGAACTGCTTCCCAATATTTTGCCAACAGTCCTATACAGCTCATGAGACTCAAACCAAACCTCCAAAGAAAGTTTGTGGTTTTCTTTTTAAACCACCCTGTGGATTTGGAAAAGAGTTTTACAGCTCCAGAAATCATTTCAGGGTTGGGAACAATCAAATGTGCCATTGATTTCTCACCCCACAGGGCAAAGGAGAACCCACAGCCCATCCCTACCATGGCAAAGCCAACATCAGCCTTCTTCAAGGCTGGGCCATCGTTGGTCCCATCTCCAGTCACGGCCACCACCTGCCTCTGGTCACCAACAGTGCTGTCAATGATGCCTGCAACAGAGACAAGCAGTTCAGAGAAGCCAAACCCCCAGGGCAGCCTCCCAGCATGGATTCTGCTGGAAAAGCACTGGGAAGAGCAGGATGGGACACCATGGGAGAGCACTGCTCACCTTTCACCAGGGTGTGCTTGTCTGTGGGAGAGGAACGAGCCAGCACACGCAGCTTGGGCCAGATCTTGTCCAGCTGCTCCTGTTCCACCTGCAGGACAAGGCACAGGTGACAAAGGGACCCCCAGAAACCTTTTCCCTCACCAGAAAGCAAACCCCACCTGGGACAGGATAGCACCCTGAGCATCCCAGCAGCTGTTCATCAGGGGGAGGAGGAAATCCCAGCAGGATTCAGGCCAACCCCCTCCCCAGCAGAGCAGGGCCCAGGGCTGTTCTCCCACCTCTCCCTTCTCGTTGCGGATGAGCCTGTTGAACTCCTTCCCCTCCAGGCATAGGAAGTCCTCCCCTGGCAGCAGGATGCCACACTTGGTGGCGATGGCACGGGCAGTGTTGATGTTGTCCCCGGTCACCATGCGCACGGTGATCCCTGCGCGTTGGCACTTCAGGATGGCATCAGGCACCTGGGCACAAGGGCAGGGCTGAGGGGCAGCCAGGCAGGGTTTGGCACTGGGCATCCCAGTGGTTCCCCTCCCATCCTCCTTAAATAGCTCTGGAAAGGGCTCTGGCAGGGTGAGGAACCTCTATGCCAAGGGAATTGCCACCTCCCTGTCACACTGTGGCACTGGATGCCAAGGCCATCCATAAAAACATTTCATCCCCCTCCTCACCCTGCTCCAGCAGCACTAATGGGTTTAGCCATTACAAAGCACTGGGGGAAGAGGATGTTAGTGAGAAAGCAGCAAATTGAATCACGAGCCTCCAGAGCCAGTGCAGATGGGGCATCTGTAACGCAATTCCCAGAGCCAGACACTTGAACATCTAATCAGGGAAGATGCAGGGAAGGCAGGAGCGTGGGGGCAAGCTCCCAAATGGAATCCAGAGGCAGGTACTGGGGGTTGATTGCATTAGCCCAGCTGCCTGCTCAGCACCTCTGCAGCTGAGGGCAAGGAACCAGCTCCACCAGCCCTGCCCCTCTCCAGCAGCTTCCACCACCTTTCTGTGGGGTTTCTGCCCAACTTCTGTGCGTGTGGAACCAGCCTGGATGGTGCACAGACCCCTGGAGCAGTTGGGGTGGGAAGTCTGGGTGGAAACACCATGGCACTGGGTCATTTTGTCCAGGTATGGGAGAGAAATGCCTGCAGCAGGGAGCTGGTGGAGTGGGACACCTCAGGGGTGGATATAGAGGAGGTGCTTAGGCTTCTTAAGGGGCTTGTGGTCCTGAGCAGCAGGGGAAGGGGCTCCTGGGCTGGGAGGAGGGCAGAGCAGGGTTCAGTACCTCTGGCCTCACAGGGTCCTCTATCCCCACCACAGCAATGCAGGTCAGGTCAGACAGGATCTCGTTCTCGCTGTCCCAGTCGGGCTCAGAGTCCGCAGGGAAGTCCCGGAATGCCAGGCAGATGGTCCTCAGCCCATGGCAGGCCATGGGCTCTATCACCTTCTTCACCATCTCATCCCTGTCCTTCACCTTGAACACCCTGGGGTCACCGTTCTTGTCCAGGATCTTGGTGCACCTAAGCAGGAT